AGGGAGCGGAGGGGGGAGGCTGCCTCCCCAATCTGCTGCCCTCGTTGCGGCTTAGGGCTTCCCTCCCCCGGCAGCGTCCCGGCCAGAACTCTCCCCCCCGCTTTCCGCCGTTATTCGTTCGCTTTGTTACTACTATTGACCATTTTTTAAGGGTATGTTGTAGGCTTCTCCCTGGAACGGAGCCCTGCCGCGCTGGGCAGTTCATACATACCCTGGTATCAGCGCATGTGGTACTACGGCTGTAGCGCTCCCGCTGGCTTTGGCAGGATCAGGGCCAAAAAGGGCTAGAGGCCCTAGCTTGGCAATTGCAAAAAGGGGTACTTGCCCTGGCTCCGAAGGGAATTTTTTTCTTTTGCAAAATCAAGGCACGTTTGGACGTTTTTTGTTTTAACTGTGTGCATTGCTTTAACACGGTGTAAGTAGAAACGTCTGACTTGTTGGCATGTTAATTATTCGCTAACGTTTTTCAGTCAAATCGGAAGTGATCTATTACTCCTCAGCATCCTCGTTTTCACATCATATTGTTCTACTAGAAAAAGGCAGAAGTGATCTTTTTTCGCTTAGAAATGAAATGGTGCGTGTCTATTCGGAGGTGAGAGGCAGCCTGAGAGACAAGCCTTCTGCTGGGCTGTGTGATGCGATGCACGTAGGCTGCAGAGAGCACGACTCCCCACCCTGCCTCTTACACTGCCGTGGCTGCAGTATAGCTCTCTGCTGTGCTGGTTGAAATGACTCATGGAAGGGTAAAGAGGATTGGGTCCAGAGCGTGCTCCACTCAGACATTTTACACACAAGAATCAAGCACGTGTTAACTTTTAACAAAGTCCCAGCACTGCTGCTGCTAGAAAGCTTGACCATACATACATGTTACACATGTGAACACACATAGCCCTGAATGAAGAATAAGGGATGGTATTGTATAGGAATACTTTGGAGTGGCACAGGCTATAACGCTGAGAACTGGCAGGACTGAAGCACTTACTTTTTTTAGGATTAATAGTGGTATTAAGAACTAATATCGTAAGCTCCCTGCCATTGCATAGTGCCACTTACTCCTCCCACCTTCCTGCCTCCCAGAGTGTTTGCATGGAAGTAGGGTGGGAATTCTGGCAGTGCAGGGAGAAAAACTTGAGAGCAATGTCATCACCGATGTGCTTGCTCTGTGGCCTGCCAGGCCCAAAGCACCTGGGCCTGCCCCTGCTGCCACACAATGGAAAGACATCCACAATTTCATTCTTTTTTGCCCCCCTTGACTAAGGAAGCAGTGCATACATTTTCATAGCTTCTAAAGATGCATTTTTAGAAGTTAACCAAATACCAGTGTGTATGTATGCACCCCTCCCTCACGTGATTGCTCCACACTCATTCATAATACATTTTCTGGATGCACAGCATCTGTTTTAAAACACAATTGCTTGTGATTAAAATAAGACCAATGAAGAAATGTGTCTAAGAGCAAAAAACTGAAAGGTAAAATGTTCTACAGAAGTATACCAAAGAGCATTCTAATGATGTGCCAGAGAGAGAGGCAAAGAAAGCTTTTATATTCCCTATTAGAGAGTACAAGGATTGTTAGCAAGTAGAGGTGGTTATAATTGTACCTGTGCCATGAGGTGCCTTAGGAACACACATTTCAGGGTTTGGATGCTCTGAGAGTAAGTCTGAAAGCATCTAGCATAGAAAGGCTTCAGAAGATGCATGGAGCAGGCTGAAGGCTTTCCTGCAAATGGCAGGGCTGGGGCATTCACAGGTTGCAGTTGTACATACCCACCTGCATCACAGTCAAAACCTGAACACAGAGCAACTGGACCAGGGAGGAGGAGCCAGGAGAACATCAGAGAATGCTGGTGCTGTGGCTGCAAGAATAGGCAGAGGCAGCATTCTTTGAGCAGGTGGCTCTATGAAGAAGGCAGATTGATTTCTGGAGAAGGAAACTACCTCCCCATGGGCGGTTCTGCTATGTTTATGGGCTTCATAGCCATTCTTCACAAGCAATTCTGCCAAAAGACTACCTACCTGTGCCATGTCTTCCTTCCTTGGGCAGCTCTGCAAAGCATTAAGTGGTAAAAAGATATACTGTACTTAGATGCTAAGTAGCATGTTGCTTCATTGGCTGTGCTGCTTTGATTCACCAAAGCAGCTTTCATTTGTTATCTCATTTTTGCACGTTGAGGTACAGGCTTGTATTTAAAGACTGTGGCTGCAAAGCAAAGCTATGATAAGGACAAAATGGAATGTTCACAATAGAGCTCAGAAGAGGGGTGAGGTGGGTTTGTTCTTCCAGAAAAAAAAGTCACAATACACCTAATTTCAGAGATTCAGGAAACAGATCTGTACTCAATTTTTCTATTTTACTTTGGAAGCAAATACTCTTATTTGACCCAGGGCTGAATAATAAGTATTTGTATGGAAATCTTCCTTTTGTAATTAATTCATTACTTTGGCCTCTGGGAATGGCTCACTGTGCCTCTGCCTCACTCTGAGTGGTGCTCTAATCTTCACTGTCACTGCAAATTGTTCAATGGATGAAAAGGGGAGGCCAGAACAGCGAAGAGTGTGTTTTTCCACTTACTCCCTCTGCCTAGCCCAAGCCCTGGGAGACTCTTGCAGCACAAGTTTTTCTACTAAGCAGCTAGAGGTCCATGTAGTGTTAAGATCTAAGGAGGACCTGGTCTGCCATCCATCCCTTTTAAATAAGAGGCAATCCTGTCTTTCCTACTTTTGAAGGGAGGGCCATATGCCACTTTGATAGCCACATCTATTGACTTAAATGTATTTTGAAATCAGGTCAAGATAGTTCTATTTAGATATAGCCAGGCTGTTGAGCATGAACAGGGCAAAGGCATATCCAAATGGAGTGTTCATCTTCACACAAAAGACTAAACTTTTTTTAAAAAAGAAAAGCTTCTATTAAGAATATTTTGAGAAAGCACCTTCCATCTCAACCACAGGCCTTTCCGGAATAACAAGAGAGTCTGTCATAAGGCTCCTGCTAGATTTTTGCTTTTATTAAGCAGCAGACAAGATGTTAAAACAGCACTGGATAGCAGCAACTAAGGCACCACTGACTTTTACATTTGTGCCAAACGCAGGTAACATGACTAGAACTGCAGTGTTCAAAAACCGTGGTGAGGGTTCAGGAATAAGCTGTTGCCACCCAAGGGCACCTCAAGCAAAGGTGGTGTTGTTCCAGCCTACGTTGCCAGCACTGATCTCAAAGAAGCTGACATAGATTCTGAAAGGGAAGACAGACACTGTTAGCTGCTGAGAGCAGAGTGCTGCAGGCCAGCCAGGGTGTTCCTGCAGCAGGACATGCTGTAGACTGTCCTGCAGGGCTTTACACTTCTCAGGCCTGCACTGCATCTCAGCAAGTTACACATTTACTTTTGCAAGTTCTGGCAGGTATGTTTGAGTGTTGAATATTCCAACCTCTCCCCTCCCCATTAATGCCTTGTCTACTTGCATTCTGGAGTTCCTGGAGTTTTTCTACTTCTTGTTTTAAGAAGATCTCAGGATGCTGTGTTTTATTTACAGTAATTTCTGGAACAGATTAGTGTACCATCAGGAAAAGGACTAGAAATGCTTTTACTTAAGTGGAAGCTTTTGTAATAGATCTCCACTTGTACCCCACAGGCAGTAGGGAAGTGTTGGTACATGTTATTCAAGTTATCAATTTAATATCAGGTTATTGTGTCTCTACCTGGGCTTTTGCATGTATGAGATCTGCGGGTACATGCAGTGCCTGAGCCTCCATCATTTTAACTAAGAGATATTTTACAGCTTCTGGGTATTGGCATTGCATCTCATGCAATTGCTCCCTTCCTATTTTTAATTGGAGAGTTGCTGTATTGACTTGGCATTTAGCCTCTTCAAGCAGAATGTTAACAGAAGAACAGCAAAGGACAAGTCTGGGATTAATAGTTTTAACAGTCTGTGGAAAGTCATGTCAGACAAGTTGCTGTATGAGCTCACCTGTCAGATGGTATTTTCAAATGTTTGTTCAGCAG